GGATGCACGATCTGATTAGTTGACTAATCGCAAAAATAATCGGTGACTAGTCGACTATCAAAATAATCGTTTGTGGCTTACACTGCATATAGGACTCTCTGATATGTCAGGTTTTATTTAGCTCCTGGAGGAACTGGTTAATGCTGATTCAACACACAGAGCAGTCTAAATATTAAAAAAACAAAACAAAACAAAAAAACCCTCCTTCAGTTTGGGACAGCAGGTGAGGGTCACGGAGTGTCAGGGGTAAGGTCACATTGTCCTAAGGTCTTGTTTGACAGGGTATGGATAGAAGTGCCTGACAAGTCTCTGACCTATATGAACATTAAGGCTCAGTCAGCAAGTTCAAGTAGCAGTGGGAAGATTTGCTCCAACTGTCCACGAAAGAGTAAAATGTCATGTGACAGAGGGAGAATAATGGATGGTAGCAGGCCGGCACATGCTCATTTATATTCTGGGAGTTCACTGCTGTGACATTTTCGTCTTCTATTATAATTACACTGTAAATGTGTCAAATGAATTTTTTAGTTCAATGGAATTATTTGTGGTCAGGCATGCCCTTGTATTTTAAAAGACTACATATAGGGATGGGCCTTTTGTGGCAGTATCTGCGTACATTTTAAAGAAATGACTGCAAAGGAAAAAAAAGTTTTTATAAGATATGGTGAGCAACTGGATGATGTATCAGCCCTCCTTCCAGGTCTTGGGTCCTACTGTGTTCATTAAAGCCGTTGTCTTTTTAACGTGCTTTAATGCTTTGTATCTTCTTTTATGTGATGTAAACAAGCCCCTAAAAATAATCAGTGGTCAATGTCAGGCTCTCTGGCTTTTTATTAGCACTAGCATGCTAATAAAATGTGCAGCACTATGTACAGCAGGTCTTTTAGCCCAGTTTTAAAACCTTTACAATGTAACTGTAGCCCAACGGCTCATGGTTCACCAGACTCAAAATATTTGAATGCTTCAGAAAACAATCATTTAAAGCTAACTAATATTTGAATGGGCACATGAAGCCTAGTCTGTTTAACTTTCCTAAAAGTCCTCTTTACATGGATTGGACCTGAAGTGGGTTTATATCAGTTTCACAAAAAAATAGCAAAGCATTGTGTAAAGATATGCCAGCAGCTGATATGTGCATAACATGCAAATATTAAACTGGATAAGCGTATTTCCTATCTTAGTTTAGTTTGTTACTAAGCTAACAATTGCTAGTTATCACTGAACACAAAGCTGACACTATAACGATAAGTTTGTGTTTTAGTCATAAACCAAAGCAGTGGCTGAATGTGAGTATCATCAAAGGAGAATTGGTTAACTACCAGGTTCAAATAGTTCGACAATAAATACCTGTGCAATACTCTACAATCACGCCTCGCCGGCTTAAAAGTCTGGATTTTGAGTTAAGGTTGTTGTTTTGTTGAGCTGGCAGCGGGAGAGCTGCAGCTGTGCGTGTCCAGCAACCGTCATTAGTGAAATACAAATGATCAAAATGCCACTAGGTCTGTCGTGGATATTGTTGAAATGATATTTCAGTCTGGACCAGCAGTGGGATTACACCTACTAACTGACTGCTTTTGCCATCCCTAGTAAGATAAAACTAATAAAAAGGTTTAAATATGTTTAAATTCACCAGTGAAAATTAAAATGACATAAATATTTGTTTAATGCTCTCTGGTGATCTTGATTATTTGAAAAATAAATATGAAAGGATATCAGCCTGTATAAAATTCATGCATTGATTTTTGTCAGCGAGAACAGCTTTTGGAAACTGGCCTACGATTTGAAATCCAAAAATAACAGAGAGGCCTCTGGAGAGGCCAAGTCTTAACAGCTCCCACTCTTCCCTGTTTCCTCTATATCTTAATAGCTTTCCATTGAGACAGTGATGAATGTGTGAACGTTATCTGCATGGTGAGAAATAATGGGATGTGTATTTGAGGCTGGTTGTGTGGCTGGCAGAGTTGGACCCAAACGCAGGACTGGGAAACACAAAGGAGAAAACTAAAAAGTGGCTTTATTAACTAAAACAAAGTACAAAACAACATGAGGAAAATCAAACTTTCAACTTAACTGGGAAAACGTGCTGCAGAAGACACAACCATGATGGATGATGTAAAAGAGAGCAAAGGGAGATTCAGACAATATAGATGCACCAGGTAATGAGGGAAATGGGAAACACCAGGGAACACAGCTGAACACAATCACAGTAACGAGACAAGGGGTGCCAAAACCAAACACAACACACAGGAGACGAGGGAGCATTAAAATAAAAAAAGAAGTAATAAACACTAATGCCAGGAGCCCAGGACTAAGACGTCAACTTGACACAGTGACTGGAGATAAACAAACATGGCAACATGACTGACTGGGGAGACACAAAGGGAACATAAAAGATGATAACTAAAGATTACATAACCTAATGAGGAACAGAGACTGGAAACAAAAGGAAACCAACATAAAAAAAAATAAACCTCGAACCACAATAATCGATATTAAAACTCAGAGGCACCAGGAATATAGAACATGAACAAAGGACTCAAACACAAAACTCATTTTAACCTAGAATGAACCTAAAGACCTACAGAAGTGCAGAACTATAATACAAAAATGATCAAAAATGAGAAAAATCCCAAAACATCCTAAAATCTCAAAACCATGACAGGTTGACTTGCTTGGCTTGACAATATTTACCTTTTATATGTCACATAAAAATGGCCTTTTGTTTTGACATGGAGTATGTGAGTACAATGAGTGCGAGAATGAGTGCTTCAGTAACTGTAACTCTTCCTCTGTGAACTGCTTTAGTCTCAGCCCGACTGATAAAGGTCAGGCTGGCATTTCAAAGTTGTACAACAGCCGCTTTGCCAGAGGAGAAAAGAACCACCCACCCCCACCCAAAGAACGCTTAATACAGTATTGTTATCTTTTTTCCTACACTACAAAAGTTTACTTCAGAATCTTCAGGCTAACTAAATAATAAGTAACGAAATACTTAGTACATAAGACAGACTGTTAGCCTTCACTGTGAAGAGTTACAAAAAAGTCTATCACAGTGTGAGCTTTGTGCTTTAATTCGGGTCAGAGAGAAATTAGAATGAACTGTAAAAGTCATCAGTTTAAATGCAGCAGTCAGTGTGTTGTCTTTACTTTGGGATCCTATTTGTCAGACACTTCATTTAAAATATTGTCATTTATTTCTAAAGCACTGAATGGATAAGGATTGAATAAACTTCTCATAGTTCTCTGTAGTGTTTACTCTTATTCCACTCTTTTTTATGGTCAGCAGTCCACAAATGATGACGGGCATTATTGTAATAAAATGTATATTGAACAGCAATACCATATAAATCTAACTTTTAAGGTGTTATAAGGTAATTGTAAAGCGAGTTGGATCCTTTTCAAAACCCTTTAAATATATTTAAATGAAAATTCCTCCGTTTGGCTGTAGGCTCATATTGTTACTTAATGTTGCTTTACCATATTTATGATGTCTTCAGCTTTCCTATACAGTTCTATACATCTCTCTCACTCCTTCTCTCTATCTGTCTGAGCCTCTTAACACACTGGCTCAGATTAAATCCACTCACTGTTGGGTTTAGAGCCATTAGCTTAATTAGAGACTAGACGTTCAATTCACTGTCAGATATCTTGATCCGTTGGCTGCCTTTCAGTCGTCTAACCTAAAGTACGTAAAGGTTTCATCATACTGCCTCTGTGGATAATGCAGCGTATCCTGGGCAAGTCCGTTACAAATTATCTGTCAGTGACAGACGTGCAGAGGTGAAAGCATAGCAGTAATTTGATTCTTTTTAGATACTTTCATGGGAAAATATCTTTACACTGGTTCCACTACATAAGAATTTTTGGTTAATATAAGCCATTGGCTGACACATATTGTAATAAATACTATAAAGCACAACTGATGGCAGATGAGGGACTCAGCTCCCTCCAGCTGGAGCAAATAGCTGTTCAGTTCCTTTTAAAACACCTGATCAACCAGCTGAGCAGAGGCCGCCTAACCTTCACACACAGTCGGACTAGACGCAGTCACTTGGCTGAAGGACTTTGTATTAGCTAAATGAAAGCCGTAGATCATACTGCCAGTATATCTCGCAAACACTGTGTCTATCTGTGTGCCCTTTTTTTTTGCTGGATATGCACTTATCACACAGCTCTGCCTCCACATAAATGTATTTAAAGTTGTGATTTGTAATTGGACACATGCAGATAGAGACAAAATTCCATATATAGTATATAAAACACAACACGTGCAAGTTAAAAGCAATACAAATTAGGATCAGGGTTCTGTAGATGCTGTACCGTCTGTTGCAGGACTTCTTGTTCTTCTTGTCCCTGAAGATAGTTCTGTGTGTTTCCTACTCAGTGTTTGGAGTCGCTGTTCTCCATGCACAATGTGAGGCCAGTCAGAAGCCTCCCTAATGGTATTACATAATCGGTGAGACTCCAAACATTTGAAGTGGCTGAAACTTTATTGCACCTTCATTTGGATGGACAAGCATAACATACTGTATGAGTTAAGACACGATGGTCGCTGGTCTAATCCCTAAAAGCAGATTAGAGTATTAACCCTTCTGAGCTCAGAAAGGACAACAGCTCGTACTGTACTAATCTACACCCACAAACAGTACACGCGCGCGCACACACACACACACACACACACACATGCACGCACTCACACAGAATATTAATTGTGACTTTAAATCAGCCGGTGAAACCTTTATGTGGATAAGTGGATTAATACTGTTGATTGTGTCAAAGAAGGCTGTCAATTAAAGTTTCTTAATTACTTCAGCAGCTTGTGGAACATCATACATACTGATCACATACATATTTGACCAACTCGACACCCTGTTCTTTTATTGGTCATGACAGTTTGCCCTCAATAACATGACTACCATGAGCAACCTTGCCACATTGTAACTATACATCCTTTTTTTTGCTTCTATTTATGAGAAATGAAGTTCTGTGTCTCTGTTTAGTGTGCGGCTGTGACTTGGTGCATGCGGGTTTCTTCCACCATTCTGGTGAGTACATCTGTACAAAGGACTACCAGCGGCTCTATGGGACCCAGTGTGACAGCTGTAACCAGTACATCACCGGAGAGGTGGTGTCTGCCCTGGGGAGAACGTACCACCCAGACTGCTTTGTCTGCAGCATCTGCAAGTAAAGAATGAGTGTTTCTTCATGTAGACCTAAATGTTGGCAGGCAGATAGTCAAACAGACAGACTGATTGAGTCAGGCAGTCAAAGTAATAAAAAGTTATTTGGACTCGCATTCATCTTGTAAATCTATACTTGGTAGTAGTCTGTCTGAGATCAGTAATAAATTCAGACGAAGGGATCAGACAAAAAAAAAAAAAGAAAGAATAAAATCCACAGTTTAATAATCACAGTGGGGATTGAAGACCGGTCAGGACAGGTTGTCTGATGACTTACTCGAGTGGCAAGGTTCAGTGTTCTGGTGCTCCTGGTGTCAGCAGATTTATGGATCATGACATAAAAGTATTATTTAACCAGGGGGATTATCTTACTCTAACCTTAAAGAAGTGCTGTGATTCCATAAGTACAACTTAAACATGACGATCAACAAGTAGATATTGTGAGCAAAATGAACTACGCAGAAAATTAACAGACTTACTCTGTGTGAATGTTTTCTGTCATAACACAGAGATGCAAACCTTTCAAAAAAAAAAAAGATTGATTAAAAACATAATTGCAAGATGTTTGTGTTGAAATTCTGCTGCACATAAAAATGATCCCTGGCCTGAGTGTAGTGGTTTACATGTTTGCTTGCCAAGTGAAAAGATGCTGCTTCATTTCCGGCCGGAGGCACAGATCCCCTTTGGGGTTGTGTCATGAAGGGCATCTGGTGTAAAGCTCAGCCAAATTAAACCTGCAGAGCTGCCTGCTGTGGTGACCCCTTGTGGCAAGGCAGCATTTTTTTAAAAGTAAGACATCGTAGTTGTTTCTCACACGACTTTAGAAGAGGCCTGCTTAGATTACTGTGTACGAGTAAGCTGTGTGTTAAAATGTTCTTGGTTTCTTAAGAACAGCTCCTGTGTCTGCCTCACGGGCTCTGTGCTCGCCTCTGCTTTTACCCTGAAATATTATCCCATACCTCACTGGGTATGAAGCGTTATTCATTTTAACTGTTACGCACTGAGAATCTGACAAAGATTTCCAGAGCTGAGAGCAACATTTAATCCTCGCAACTTTGACATCAGCCTGGAGATCTCGTTTTATTCTTTGCTACATTCAAACTGCAGAAATACTCCTCTGACACTGCCGATGGTAGTTTTTGACAGTATTTATGTTATTAAAAATGTCCCAGTGTAAAAAAGAATTTGCTAAATGTTAGTTTTCAATGCTGGGAAAGACAAATTTTCATGTATAATGTAAGGGTAGCAGAAATAATGGCAAATATTGTGTGAAACTTCTGCTAAAGAAACTTGGAATTACCTGCACCAATACTACTTACGTACATCGATACTGTTCAACTTGGGAGTACAAGCAAATTGGAATTTCGTGTGTTTTCTGATTGGGTAAACTGTGAATTATCTATCACCCTATCTGCATTCTGCATGGCATTACTGAAATGGTTTTTTTATGCGTGCTTTCTCAGAAGCCCATTTCCAATTGGAGACAGAGTGACCTTCTGTGGGAAAAAGTGTGTGTGTCAGCAGTGTTCACTTTCTCTGAACAGCGACAAGCCCGTCAAGGTCCACGGACCAAGCTGTAAGAAACAAACACGCACACACACACACAAATGAAAATATACGCTCACTGACGTGTACAACACCATACACAGCAACAACATATCTCACATTTTCTTCACTAGACATAAAGGATAAGCCAACACACATTATCCAGTTCTTCAAAAGCTGTGCAGGTATTACTTTGTAATAATTATTTTTCTATGAATATTTCAAGGAAATGCATGGTGTTTTAAATAGAATATACTCAACTCAAAGGTTCATTTACTAGCCTGTAGAATATGCAAAATGTCGTGTTTGATACTCCAACAAATTAAAGAAATTGAAGAAATAAATATGTGTCCAGCTTTGAGTATTTAAGTTTGTGTGTGTAACTAAATCCCATCAAGACCCATTCATCAAACCTAACACAAGCAGAAGAAGATTCATTTTACAGCACTTTGCCAGATCATCTTTTTTTAAAAAAAAGCTATTAGCTATGGTTTTTCCCTGCCTAATGATATTTAACTGACTCATATCTTTGTGATTCATCCAGCATGTAAGACTGTTTGTTCCCCTACAAATGAACACCTAGAGTTGCACAGTCCACCTGCTGAACGCTGCAAAAACACAGCATCTTTGTAGGTGTGTAGCTGCAGGGAGATACTTCCAAACACACCCACAAACACAGAAGGTGGCCTGCTGCTTCAGGTAGTCCTGGTAGCTCCATCTGGCAGAGACAGTGTGACTGTCACGACAGGAGAGAGGGATGAGGAAGAGAGGAGGAGGAGGTAGAGAAGTGATGAGAGGTTGGCAGAGCAGAAAGGCAAGGACATAAAAGGGGAGTGATAAATGCATAAATGCTCAAAGTGTTCCTGCCTGTTCCTATCGTACATGTGTGCGTTCTCATTACCGCGCTTCCTGCTTTTCCTCTCCCCTCTCCTCCCCTCCCCTCCAGACTGTGCCGGCTGTGGTGAGGAGATCAAACAGGGTCAGTCTCTGCTGGCTTTGGAGAGACAGTGGCACGTCAGTTGTTTTAAATGCCGAACATGCGGCTGCGCCCTCACTGGAGAGTACATCAGCAAGTAGGTGGCTTGATCCTTCCTATCTCAAGTCAGTCATAGGTGTGCTTGGGCAAATATCAAACGTTTCTTCAAGCAATCCACATCAAAAGCCACTGCACAGAATCTGCCTCCTGTATCCAGACTTTTAATTCTGAAACTACCGTACTAGAAAATTGCACGTTTAAAACATTTGTCATCAAGTTGTGGAAAGGTTGAGGTTTTTTACTCATTTTCTACTATTTACTATCAAAATTAAATTGAAATGTTGCACTTGCTTTGTAAATCTTTACAGGATGAATAGTAGTGGAGTAAACTGTGAGCTTTTTGTCTTTCTCACTGTTTCTCACTGTTCAGAGATGGGATACCTTACTGTGAGACTGACTACCACAGTCAGTTTGGGATCAGGTGTGAGAGCTGTAACAGGTACATAAGTGGCAAAGTACTTGAGGTGAGTGCATTTTTCTGTTGTGTATGTGTGCTTTTGGGAATATGCGTGCATGCTTAAAGACAGCTGGGAACGACAGTGGGAATGTGCGTGTTCTGTGCTTGTCAGTGTGAGCTGGTCTATAAAAAGCTGCAAAAAAATGCAGCTGTCCCTCTTTAAATGAAGTGCTGACTGATGACGAAGCAGCTTTGGAAACCTGACAAAGCAACACTTCCCCATCTCCTTCACACTATTCATCTTTTTTTTCCCGTTTCTTATCATGCCTCTCCTCCTTCTTCACTCTGGATTGTTTTTCTGTTTCTTATCACCACTCTGTTCCCGTTTTCTCATCTGTACCATTTGCTTTTGCCATTTTGTGTCTGATTTTCCTTTCCTTTCCTTTCCTTTCCTTTCCTTTCCTTTCCTTTCCTTTCCTTTCCTTTCCTTTCCTTTCCTTTCCTTTCCTGCAGGCTGGAGGAAAACATTACCACCCCAGCTGTGCGAGATGTGCCCGCTGTCACATGATGTTCCTAGAAGGAGAAGAAATGTACCTGACAGGTAATCAGGATATTGTGTGTGTTAACTAGCAAAATAAGTTTCCCTTGTATGAAGTGGAAGAAAATTCCACTATCAACCTGAACTTGGATAAAACAAAGCTTAACATTTAATAATAATTATAACTTCTGAATATAAAAGTCTGAATATATTTGTTAGGAAATCAATTTAGTCTGAATTTATGTCTCTATAGTCACAAATGTGCTTCTGCATTTGTACAGTTAACAGG